AATACTTTCGGAAGTATCCTTTGATTTTTTGCACTAAGAACCCGGAAATAAACATTGTTTCAAGTTATTAGCTGACTTAGACCATTTATGGAAAATATGAAATTTCTTTCTTTCAATTTCCCATTTTCATCTCAGTTTGGCAATATAGCGATTCACATACAGATGCTTTTCAAATCATTGTAACAATATTGGAACCACTAACTTTTATAACTTTCGCTCTGTTAATTAAGACGTCATAATCAACCCTTAGCATCATTTCAGGGCAATAATTATCCATCTGATCGCAATTACATTAGCTTTTTCTGCAATATCTTCAACGGCCTCATCTCATCATTTTTCCTTCATTGTATTTCATGATACTTTTTTAATTGCATTATCATAAAACGATCTCCTTATCAATTAAAAAAAAATAATTGCTTGCAGGAATCGAGCTAAACATCCACTTAATGGTTTGTTTTTCTACGATTCGCTTGTTTGCAAAATTTTTGTGTCCTCATTCTATCACTTGTCAGGTAGCTAAATTATTAGGGATTAACGATCCTTAGCATGTACGATAGGTTACACTGATTAACTTTTCGAATATATTTCATTGATTTTTGAAATTCAGAAAACATTTCACCCATCACATTTGTTCATTTCAAAATTGTTCGAAAGAAAAATTCATAAGTGTTCATGTTAATCAAAAGAATTGCTCTTTAAATTTAAATTTTCTTCGAATATTTCAAGTCTCACTGACTGTGCTCCCATTCTTCTATTTCATCATTCTTTTTAGCTACAATGTTGGCTTAGGAACAGCCATCGCTTATAATTCATGCATCATTTCTCACTAAATTTTCATAAAAATGTGATAAAATCTGGCTAAATAAATTTTGAAACAATTAGTCACATTCATCATTAAATATTTCCATCTTCACGTTTCCTCTCCTCCCTCATTATTCAATGTCCTTCTCACGTCTTTCTCATCTTCTACCGTTTCTTTTCCTTCCCACTTCATTATATTTTATATGCAATTTTTTCTACATACTCTTAGCGATTATTTAATATTAGCAATTAACAATTATTAAAATAAGTGCAATTTAAAAACTTAGAACTTCCAAATTCATATGCTATAATTAAATAAATTGTAATTCATAGAAAGTATTCCAATCCAATTATAAAATACCTATATATAATCATTGTTCCACAAATGATAATCTGATTAATTTTATAACAAAAATTTATTTATAAACAAACAAATAAGATTGATAATCAAATTTATTGTACTTATTTGCACAAAAATGAACGTAAGAGGAAACAGCTTGTTTGCATAACGATCACTTCAGTATACAACGTGCACATACATACACATACACATACACACACATACACATA